AATTGTCAAAGATTACATGATAGCTAATTTATCTGGCCAGAAAATATAAAAATATGCAATACACAGCTACAAAAGCTAAATTACACAAGTGTTGAAAGAGTTGGTACCAACGTGGCAGGAGCAAAATATATTACAACTACATGTTTGACGCAAGCAAGAAAATATTTACACTCAAGACCTAATATATTGAAAGTATAACAGAAAGAACAATGTACATGTCCTACATGACTGATATCAAATCAGTAAACACAGCTTATCATTAGCTTTAAATAATGTGTTAATACAGCAAAATATCTATGAGAAATATCAAACAAGTCAAAGATGAAAAATTACATCATATAGATATGAGTAATATATAATTAATCAGAATTTATCAAACTTCAAATGTCTTTAGAATTCAGTTTATGTAGACAAACTGTCACAGTATGCGATACAGCATACGACACATGGTCTTGACTGAACATCAAGCCATTACACAAGTAACGCTCAAATACCGTAGAGCACATGATGAGTGGACGAACTGACAGACCCGCACCCTCCAAGAATGAATAGGTGCACATCCCACGTAGTGGCTCACACAAGCATCCTTCCGCAAGATCCTCACTGGGGGCTCCATTTTGTAGCAGTTTAGTGAAGGTCGTTTTAGAGCGAACAAACACATGCTACGGGGTTGAGGTCTTTATTGCGATGCGTTGAGTGTGATCAAGGATCTATATATCATACACCCCTGTGGGTGATACAAGGGTGTGGATCCCAACTGCCACACGTATGGCAACACCATAGATTATCTGATTTAATATTGTCTCTTTATCCTTTGCTGGTCTGAGCAGTTCTGTCAGTTTATGTGCTGAGAGAGTATGCAGTGTAATCAAAGCATGCAGTTTAACAATAGGTGTTATCTTTGCCAATCAGCAAATGAAGCTTCTGGCCATGGGGCAGTTAGTAGGTAAGACAGGTCAGATACACTTTGTTATAGCTGACTGAAACGGACAACTAGTTATATATAATAAATATACGTAAAAACCTAAAATGAAATTAAAACAAATATATACAAACACTACATCGGCCACATACTTCCCTCCATCGAAAAATGACGTCCACGTCACTTTACCTTGCCAGTGACAAGATCCAAGATGGCATCAGAAAGTCGGTGCTGCTGTTCTCGGAACAATCCGTCAGCTTGAAGTGAGCTGAGATAGTTGGCTCGCGTACGCTAGACTAAACTAAACTGCTACAACTACATGTGCGAATCTCTGTGATACTTTTCAAGTTTTATCTGATGTTGATAAGTTCTCTTTTATTATGTCCAATGATGATTTGTTGTTTCTAACGGCCAAAACCTGCAAACTTTTACTTGAAAAACGCAAGAATATTTTATATAATGCTTAGATTTACCTTCGTGATATATTTTACCACTTATAAATTCTACTTGTACTCATATTGAGTGGTTCTGTACTTTTATCTATGTTCTATGCATATATGTATGTAGTATGTTGTACAGAAGTGAATAAACAATTGTCTGTCTGTCTGTCTGTCTGTCTGCTTGCCATAGAAGGCAACTATGCTTGTCGTAAAAGGCGACTATGCTTGTCGTAAAAGGCGACTAACGGGATCGGGTCGTCAGGCTCGCTGACTTGGTTGATGAATGTCATCGTATCCCAATTGCGGGGATCGATGCTCATGACATCAATCACAAGATTGTCTGTCCAGACTCGATATTTACAGACCGCAGTTACCAATACCTGAATTGAGAAGACTTGCGTTACGAAGCTCCTTCAAGACGTTATCAATATCCGTAAATGTCTGTGATATTATTACCCATCCAAAGTCGAATATACATTTAGTGTGCTTTCTTGACAACGAATGTTATAATTGGGATAACACCTTCTTAGTAAAGTACAGATGCTCGTACGTTTTTGGGTTGAGTCCCGTCCGGGATTTGAACCTACACTGTGAGTGAGGCACCCAATCACCAGCACACAAAGTCAGCGATCTAACCCAGCCACCGATGCTTCCACCAAAAATAAAAGTCAGACAACTTTTAGTCCAGATCACGTACTTTGTGTACCCCTCTGACAAGTGAAAAATGGCACGGCTCCCATGGCCGAAAGCTTCGAACACACAATGCCATTAAGAACGTGGTCAAATGTAACAAATGTTATATTTGGATAACACTTTCTCATTAAAGTACAGATTCTCGTACTTTTTAGGGTTGAGATAATAGACGTTGATAGTAGTAGTATAGGACGGGTCCGCAGAAGGTAGTTTTGGTTGATCCGGTTGATCCAGGCGGATGCGAAGGTGATTGGCTGATCAAAGTCACGTGATCGGATAGGATGACTCATGCATCAACAGCGCGTCACAGGTGAGGGGGAATGAAAGGTGTGTGTTTATAAGACAGAAAAGAATTCATAAGAAAACAAAAGTAAAGGGTATTCAATAGAGCTATGTGTATAGCGTGCTGCCTTGAATAGACAGACCGTACCCGTCAGCCCAGTTTGAATTAAGCGCGCTTAACAACTGACGTGGCCTCGTCGTTTAACCCGCGCTCGCTAGAGCGTGCGACCTGGTTTTGATGAATGCAGGGTGTGTGTTGAAAGTACAAGTACCACAATGGAGACGGGTTAAGTCAACACGATATACGTCGGGTAATGTAGGAAAAAAAACTGTACGTCTAGCTGGAACAGATCCATCTTATACGGTCTACACGTTGTACACCACGAACGTTAGACAACCTATATAGAAAAAAATACATAGAGACAAAATAGATAAGACTACGCAATCAGTAAGCTAGCAGTGTCGTTTAATTACATTTAGCGCGCAAGAACGAGGTAGTCACGTCACCCTGCATTGACTATAACGCTGAAGGCAGCCGGATTTCGAATCACCCCGCGCTGCGTACTATTGTGAACCATTTGTATAGAGGGCGTTCACTTATTCAGCCCTATCCCGACTAGCGTAGTTGATGTTTCAACGCTAGCGTTTCCATTTAACGCGATGACAAATAAACCGTACGGTTTGAGTTTTAACCGTGTATCATGATGTGCACAGTTTTACTTCAGAACGTGCTATTTTGACAATTGATAGTTAGAACCATGTCTATGTTCAATAGAAAACTGATGAGTATATGTACCCGTGTGACGGCACGAAGCTAGGTTTGTTGGGAAAGTGATGGAAGCCATCTATAAGATATTTTCATGTTTACAATACTCACCCTTAATTCGAAGAGAGAACAGAGTTTATCATGGAAAAAATGTTTCACGAGGAAAATGTTTCATTGGAAAAATATGTCGAAGCAGGTTTATTCATATCTATAATGACATTACTTTCTCCTATAGACTCGCGTGTTTAGACATGTTTGAACACGTCTATCACGTGACTAGGCCCGCAGTATATGAAACAGATTTGAACCCAAAGTGAATCATTTACAGCGCAGAGGCCTTCCGTACCACACTGAATGCTTTTCACTTTGCTCGGTGTTATCGCTTATTACCTAGAAGATCACAGCACTTTCCTTGAGTCATGGCAACGTGCAGTACAAGTCCATCTACGGGATCCACAAAGCAAGCAGTGGGTTCATCAGAAGAACATGGAGAGAGTATGTTTCATATCGGCAGTAGTCGCTACATCAAGGCTACCCGTTGGAGTGGAGAGTGGAAAATAGACATTCGTCAATACGAATGGAGTGCTGAAGGCTTACTCTATCCCACCAAGGCAGGTATTTGTTTATCTCTCGATCAATGGGCGCAGCTGAAGGTTATTGAAAAGACTGTGTCAGACTCGTTAAGTCAAATCCTGAACAAGGAAGATTGCTCTCTCTGTCTACCGTTAGGGTGTAACGTTTTCCTAACCATGAACTCGCCCAACAAAGTCGTGGATATACGGCAGTGGTGGCTACCCGATGGCGAACGGGAAGTAAAATCGACTCGCAAAGGCATGGCTCTTAAGCCAGAAGAATGGCGTCAGCTGCTCAAAGTCAGGACGCTACTGGATGACTGTATGGCATACAATCCACGCAGTATGTGTACGTTATAACGAACTGTGACTGTGCAGACTATACGTCGACTGCATCGTGATATCATTTTCTAAATATAACAGATATAAAAAGAAAGTACACCACGCATACTGTTTCATTCAGGCATGAGACTTCCTTACGAGTCGCATCCCTCCCTGCATGCTAGCCGAGAAAGAAAACTTCTATCCTATATAGAATGTCGAGTGACAGAATGACTTTCTTCACCTGGAAGTACGTGCAACGCGAACCCGATCGGATCCACGAAACCGTCGTTATACAGTCGTCTAGATGGTTTCAACATCGGGAACATTGTATACAAGATGCCGAGATGAAAGTCCCCAACGAGGATAAGAAGTTAAAACGAATCATCACTAAGAAGATGAAAGCTATCGTCGTAGACGAAGTGGAATCGGTTGAAGTCACTGACTACATGTTGTCGTTACTGACGCTATGCTATACTGTGGAACTGTGTAAAATTATCAAACGACTCGCCGTCCAACTGTGTTTCAGTTGCATGTTTGAACAAACTGACAGTCAATACCATACTTGTCAAGACTTGTCTGACCAACACAAAATACACCAATACATAAATACAGCCTTAGACGAAGTGAATGACGATCGTGTGATTGATCAATGGATTCGATTGATTCACGAAGATCCAAGCTTAAGCAGCGTGTCTTCCCACGCTATCTGTCAGTATCGGTGTAAGGACCATCTGGACACTCACTTCAAAACGGGTGACTGGTTAAAAGACATACAGGACCGTGTATGGAAAATGTTGTATTTAGAAAGAGCATTCCGATGAACGGTATGCAGTTGTATATAATCCGAAGTAGCATCTCAATAGCTGTACACTCATGATTACCTTGTATGTATTAAATAATAGTATTGAACAATTCATGTGTCTGTTATCATTGTTGTGTATATAAAGAGAGCGTGCGCAGATGGGGCGGTCGCAGTTGAGTTTACCTCACGAGTCAGAAACATGTCTAGTAAGTCACGTGTAACACCGTCGTCGTCGTCTCGTCAGAAAGAGTTAGAGAGCTATTACTTTGATCCCAAGTCCCCGGGTGCGTATTACGGTGCCTCCAAATTTCAACAAAGTTTAAAAAGACGTGGGAAAACGGTTAGCGTGTCCAAGGTAAAAGCCGAATTGAGCAAGCACGATGCTTACACGCTTCATAAGTCGGTGAAACGCAAATTTCAACGACTCAGAGTACTCGTCAACCGAATAGATCAGCAGTGGGATGTCGATCTGATGGACATGAGTCGCTACGTTAAAGTGAACGATGGTATACGTTACGTGCTGATAGCCATTGACATTTTGTCACGCTATCTATGGGTAGCCCCTTTAAAAAACAAGAAACCCGAGTCCACTGTCGAGGCATTCAAAGACATTTGGTCGCACGGTCGCAAGCCACAAACCATCAGAGTGGACAAAGGTACGGAATTTAAAGGGGCATTCCAGGATTTTATAGAGCGTCAGTCGATCAAACTGTTCGTCACTCAGAACGAAGACATTAAAGCGAATTACGCCGAGAGAGTCATTCGAACGTTGAGGTCGCTCATAGCGAGGTATCTGACACACAAGAACACCGAGCGCTATGTGGACGTGCTGTCCGATCTAGTGTACAATTACAATCACACCGTACACAGAAGTTTAGGCGAGTGGGCTCCTGCAGATGTGAATGAACGAAATGAAGTCAAAGTATGGAATCATTTATACACGAAACCATCACCGTACATGACACACAAGATCCGTCCCTTTCAATATAAAATAGGGGATATCGTGAGAATCAGTTATTTGAGAAAACCTTTCGCTAAGGAACACAACTTGAGATGGACGGAAGAGTTATTTAAAGTAGCAGCCCGTTATCGACAACAGGGTATTCCTTTATACACGCTGAAAGATTTTCACGACCAGTTCTTAAAGGGACGTTTTTACGAAGAAGAATTACAGCGTGTCGATAAAGATTTAGATGCTGCATGGGATATCGAAAAAGTGTTAAAGAAAAAGAAAGACAAAGGGAAATTGTACTATTTAGTCAGGTGGGCAGGCTGGCCGTCGAGTTTCGATTCCTGGGTAGAAGCAAGGGAAGTGAAGGACAAGTAAAATGGATAAATACATCGTGTTTAACAGTGCAGACTCCCGGGAGTATTATCCGGACAACACGCCTTACCGTTTCCGGGTGAAACTGTCTCAACATTTGAAACTGGAGGGCATGTGGATGGTGGCTCTGTTAGAAATAAAACTAGGACGAGTCGAGTTGAAAGATATCAATAATACCACCATTGACGTGTTGTGTAATCTGTGCGACAGTTCACACGTGGGTGAGAATTATCTACCTTTATTGAGACGACTCGATCTGAGAGACGGACCCAATTATTATTTTCACCAGCCATGGTACTTACCCGTTATCGTGAGAGACACGTCAGAAATCGAAGTGTATATAAAGTGTGCAGAAGGAACATCGCATTCATTTCTAAAAGAGACCGTGAACGTATCACTCGTGTTGCGACGGTATCCCTTTCTGACTTAAGCACGATGGAACGGAAACTGTACATTCCCGACACTAAGAAGTTTGTGGACTTTTTAGTAGATCGCAGAAGTAAGCATCAGGGCAAACAGCTGATCAAAGGTCGACCCAGGTCGCGAATCATTCCCATCGCACCCCTAGCCAAAGTATCACCCAGCCGCGACTCTAAATTGAACGTAACAATGACGTCACCCAATCAGAACGTGGTCCAGAGAGCCGTGGCGGCTCAGAAGCGAACTAAGGCTATAAAACGCAAAGCAGGAGACAAGATTGTCACATCGAAGAAAGTACGTCGCGAGGGTAACAGCTCTAAACGATCCTTCATCGAGTTTAAAGATACCCCCGCTGTCGACCCCAGAGACATCTTCAACCAGTAACCATGTCGGTACTGACGGAGAAAGAGTTTACCGAAGCCCTGCCAAATAGCTTAGATTTATTCGAACTGCCACCCTATCAAACCAGCATCCTTCAACATTACTACGAGAACGTAAGGCCCCTGTCCGTCATCACCGATTCCAGTCCGGTGGAATTTCACATACCCAATGGAGGGAAAGACTACATCGACTTGAGCAAGACCCGACTTCACGTCAAACTCAAAGTCACTCACACCGACAAAACGCCCTTAGCCGATAAAGAAAAAGTAGGGCCCGTCAACCTCACTTTGCACAGCTTGTGGAATCAGGTGAGCGTGTTCCTACAGGGACAACAAGTGAGCTCCAGCAATGCCGGTTACCCTTACAAAGCTCTCATGGAAACCGCCCTCGACTACGGCGCCGATGCCAAGTCCAGTCAGCTGACCAGTCAGCTGTATTACAAAGATTCGGGTGTCACCGTGGGTGATTTTAACTCCGCTGATCCCTATGCCGGTAGCAATGACGGGCTCATTAATCGAGGAAGCTTCATCGCCGGAAGCAAGTCGCTCACCCTAACGGGGCCCCTCATGGAAGACGTGTTCGGTTTCGACCGTCATCTGGTGAACGGCGTGGACGTGGGGCTCAAACTGTTTCGCTCCAACACGACCTTTGTCTTGATGTCCGACGAGACCGATACACATTACACCGTCGAACTACAAGACGTGTACCTGAAAGTATGCAAACTGAGGATCAACGACGCTCTCATCGTGGCCCACAACAAACAGTTCGAAAAAGCCAACGCCCTGTACCCGTACGAACGATCCATGATCAAAATGGCCTCGGTCGCCTCGTCCAGTCTGAGTTTTAACTGGGACGCCATGTTTCAGGACGAAGTCCCCAGTCGACTCGTGATCGCCTTGGTGAGGTCCGATGGGGTGAACGGATCGTACACGGTCAATCCCTTCTGTTTCCAAGGCGACATCGTTAAAAGCATGGGACTGTACTTGAACGGTACCAGTGTACCCGGACGACCGTTAGAGTCGAACGACGTCGAGGCTTACGCCGGTCTGTACGACTGGAATAACGAATGGCGCAAAGACAAAGGTTTGAACTTGGACCGCACGGAATTTTCCGTAGGTCATGCCTTGTACGTGTTTAACCTGCAAGACATACAAGGCGACAGAGGGGAATATCTGAATCTGGTCAAGTCGGGTAATCTACGACTAGAAGTCCAGTTTACTCAAGCCCTCGCCCATACCTTCAACGTCATCGCCCTGGCCAAGTTTCCGGCCCTCATCGAAATCGACCAAAGCCGTAACGTGTTTCTAAAGTAGACAATGTACAAACGACAGTTACAGTGTGCCATCCGTAGCGACCCCAGCCTCCGTACACACGTGGTGGGTGTGTACGCGAGAGATACATTAGCTAACATCACCGTACCTTCCAGTGGAAAACCATGGGGATGTGTGGCTAACACGGACCTAGCACGTGGCGAGGGTCAACATTGGGTTGCCTTTTACTTTGACGGGTGTGGAGTCGGCGAGTTTTTTGATAGTTATGGACAGAAACCCAGTTACTATCATCGTGAATTTGAATATTTTATCAAGAGACATTCTCGCAGTTATCGATATAACACGTCTGTTTTACAGCAATCTAGTTCGAGCGCTTGTGGATTCTATTGTTTATATTACGCGTTACAGAAATGTAGAAATAGTGCTAGTTTACGAGATATCGTACAGATGTTTTGTACAGACAAAACACGCAATGATGCGTATGTGACTCGCTTTATCTGTGACTATTTCAAGTACTGTTTCACGTGTTCTATGATATAACACGATCTTTCCTCCTGTAGAGTGGTAGACGAGTCAATAAAAACAGAGAAAATGTCTATTATGTTTCAGTTCTATATATGACATGGACGTATGTATATGGTTCTATGTAAGTTGGGTTATAAGGTTTTTATGATTATTTAAGATCAAAGTCTCACGAGTACGTGTCATTGTCGAGTGTGACACCGTACGATTCAGACATGGCGAGATACGTCCTGCGACATTACACGTTTTTCAGACAACTTCTTTCGTCGAACGATTACCAAGAAACCTTGAGCGATATTCGCAGCATGAACGGCGAGCAAATCAAGGGTACTAAAGCCATCGTAAAGCGATTGCTCGATGCTCGCATCCCGGTAACACGCGGTGAGAATCGTCGTTTCTTACAGCCTCATCCCCACAACCATTATTTGAGAATGTTGCGACGTATGGCTCATCCCGACACGACGAATAGAAGCATTAAGCGAACCCTGTTAAACCATACTCCCTTGATTCAGTTTATATTCGAGTACGAACACGTCAGACAGGTCAGAGACGAAGCCCAAAGAGCTCTCCAAAGACTGGCTAGACGTCAACAACGGACACTCGTACCGAGGGCTGCATAAATAAGCCCGCACCGGTGACAGAATGTATCAGTTCGCATAGATACTCCGTGAAATATGTCCGAGAAATGTTTGCTCCCTTTCATCACACCTACCACCTTGTCCGTGATCGGGGGCACGTGTAGCGGCAAGACCTATTGGACGAAACGCCTGTTAGAGAATGCCAGTACAGTGTTTGATAAGCCACCCGACCTCATCGTGTACTGTTACGGGGTGTGGCAGGATCTGTACGCCGACGTGCAGCAATCTATTGCTAACATTCAGTTTCACGAATCTTTGCCCAGCGAAAGCCAACTACGTTTGTGGTCCGATCAGTCGAGCAAAAACATGATTCTCGTGTTAGACGATCTCATGATGGACATATGTACCAGTAAACTCATGTTAAACGTGTACACCACCTTGTCGCATCATCTGGGTATTACCGTAATCAATCTGCTACAGTCCGTCTACCCTAAAGGTCCCTGTTCACGGACGGTGAGCGTGAATACGCATATATTCGTCTTGATGAGCAATCCCCGTTCCGCTCACGAATACAAGATTTTGGCCTCGCAAATATTTCCAGGTCAAAGCAAGTATTTTTCGGAATCTTACGAGGATGCCGTGGAAGGGAGGAAATACGGTTATTTAGTCGTGGACGCCTCGCCGTACAGTGACCCGGAATACGGACGCTTACGCACCGGCATCTTACCCGATGAACTTTGCACCCTCTATTTTCCCAAATAAAAAGCGAAAAACACGCTTTAATCGAGTCAGTCTTACAGCAGCCGCGCTATGAGCAAGGTCTACTTTTGGACGATCGTGTGTAACCCGCCACCCTCTACCTTGTCCGTGAGAGCTACCCCGCACCAGACCGAAGAGATCACCTTAAAAGAGAGCCCTACGTGGTTTTCATCGAAGGAAGCGTGCATCACATCTCTTAAAGAAGCTTGGCGGATTGGAGTGGACCAACCTGATTCATACGGCGGGCCTGTAGGTTATACGTACAAAAAGGTTCGCTTCACACCATGAGCGAGTGTATTCGAGATAACGTGGATTTTCTCCACGTGCTGAGTCGGACTAAGCCTGTACAGCGTAAAACGTTACTGTCTCATCTGTCCAAAAACCAGTTTAAGGCCATCATCACGTTGTTACATAACATTATCATCGGACACATTACCGTGACGGATCGCGAGAAAAAGACCTTGTACCGGTACAGAAAGATCATTCGGTTACTAGCCAGCAAACGAGAAGGATACAGAGCTAAAAGGGAGTTGCTGGTTTCTTTTCACTTTATATTACCACCTTGTGTGAGAGCGCTCGATAGGTATTTCGCACCCGAACATGACGAAACCCATGATCCTGTTATCTCGCGAGACGTACCATCGCCTGATCCAACCTCCTCCGAAGATGGAAGCCAACCCCCCTCCAGCCCTGAAACCCCCACCAGCCCCTATGCCGCAACAGCAGCAGACTCCAGACAACACTACAACTGAGGAACCACCGACTGAGCGGGACACGGCCAACCACGATAACATCGCCTCACATATCCCACAAACAACAGGAGGAGGGAATGCAACAGTAGCGAACCCACCCCTCCTATACTGTCAAGATGTTTTATATCTACTGTTACAACGCGTCCACTCGAACGACCAAATGGGAAAGTTAGTGTCGCTGTGTCAATATCTCAACCAACAAAAAGAGCTCGGCCGCATTAACTGGAATGCTAACCTCGAATGGTTGGATAAACACGGACACCCCATAAAGCATTCTAATGTGATTGACTGCATTCGACAGTTTGTGTCACACAGTAACG